ATGGATGGATGGATGGATGAATATATATATATACAAAAATACTGGGTATATATATACAAAAATATGAAGCGTATTTGACCACACTGTCCATACCAGTGCGCAGCTATGCCTGCTACCACCAACCAGGCGGCACAGGAGATCCCCATAAAACAGCCCCTGCATATGTCATGGTTATATTTGTAACCTAAGATTTACAAAAGAAAACAGTGAATGCTGTGTAATAGAAAATGTAATAAATACGTTAAAGAGAATAAGAACAGATTACAGTCATAAAATCGTTAATCTAATTCACTGAATCACTGGGGGATTCAGAGTAACATAATGATAATTTAAGGGTGATAAAAATTGTTATAAATACTTGTTTATTATGTTATTATTATTTGATAATGCTGTCCATTGTGCTGACGATCATTACGTACATCTCCCAGAAAGGAAAAGAGCAACAGTAATGCAAAGAGTGATTTATGTTAACTTTTATTTGAAGATATTTTGTTTGATAGCTGTCATATGACGTAGTGTACTGTGTTGTTTTTAAAATATTGATTTGTTCACAGGTTCCTTGTCGACTCGTGGAAAATGTGTTGTTCTGTACCGGGTTGTTCATTTTTTCTTCCGCGTTGCAAGTGAAGCATGGTCCGTAAAAAAAAAAAAGGAAGAAAAGAAGAGAGGGAAAAGGGGAGAAGAGAAGTGGCGTGAATAAATAAAGACGTTTATATCAAAGCTGCTTGCCTCGCATTGCTGTTATTTTTTAAAATACTTTTTAAGCCCCGCTACGTGGGCACAAGATACAGGAGCCTTGCCTGCGGTGGTAGCAGGCGTAGCTCCGCCCCGATAAGGGTGGTGTGGTCAAATACGCTTCCAATTTCTGTATATATATTCAGACTTTGTGCAGAAAGTCTGAATATACAGTGGGTACGGAAAGTATTTAGACCCCTTTAAATTTGTCACTCTTTGTTTCATTGCAGCCATTTGCTAAAATCAAAAAATAAAAATAATAAATAACATCAAAACGACACAAGCAGCTTCTATATGATCATCTTTCTTTATTCACTCTTTGTTACTTTTATAGAGTAATGCTCTGGAGTCTCACCGTAAAGTTGATGTAATATACGACAACTCTTTGCTAATAAAGTGATACGGACAGATTCTTTGTGGTCTCCTATTCCAGGATTTTATTTATTTATCAGAGGGTGAGTGACCAGATTATTTACCGTAGTAAAACTTGGGAAAAACAACTCAAGAAAATTACAGTCAAAATGGTTAATGATCTCACTGTTGGGTGAGGGATTCAGAGTAGCGTGATCTTAATATAAGGTTGATGAAAAGGTTATAATTCGTTGTAAATACTTGTTTGGAAATATGTTATAATATTTCTAGATGTTATTTGATAACCCTGTCCAGTGTGCTCACGATCGATAATTTGCGTCTTGCAGAAAGGAAAAGAGAGAGAGTAATGCAAAGATTTTTATGTATGTATATTTGTTTACCTTATTAGAAGATATTATGTTATTTTTTTTACATACTTTATACGCCCCCCTACGTGGGCACAGGATATAGGAGCCTGGCGGGTTGTGCAGGCGTAGTTGTGCACCGATACGGACTGTGTGATCAAATACGCTTCATATTTTTGTATATATATTCAGGATTTTTCTATATATATATATATTCAGGATTTTTGTATATATATATATTTTCAGGATTTTTGTATATATATTCAGGATTTTTGTATATA